TGTATCAGTCAGTTAGTTCAGCAGGTAAATATTGGTCATATAGGTCTCTCTGACCATGCTCCTGTTGTCTTAACCATTCAACCCATGAGACATATTGAGCGCTCTAGGTCTTGGAAGATGAGCACACTGTCTCTTTTGGATGAGAAATTTATACATTTCATAACAGAGCAAACAACAGTATTCCTAGAAATAAATGATAAAGAGGAGATAGACACGAGAACTTTATGGGATAGCTATAAGGCTTACATGAGAGGGATGATTATTTCATACACAAGTCATAAAAGGAAGCAACGATTAACAAGGCAGTTAGAGATCGAGAATAATATCAAAAAGCTGGAGAAACAATACTATGTAACAAAATCAGCTGAAACATTAAGTGAGCTTAATATTGCCAGGACATCTTTGCGTAATTTGATAATGCGAAAGGCTGAAAGAGATGTCCTTCTTGCCAGACAACAGCTTTTTGAATCAGCTAGTAAGCCTAACCGCTTTCTGGCTCGTCTTGCAAGGAATACTCCATCAAGTTCCTTTATCACAGCTATTGTGGATGTGAATGGTGAAAGACAAGTAGGAAACCGTCAGATTAATGAGTGCTTCAGAGAATTCTATACAAACTTATATCAATCTGAGATGGACATAACAAGGCTTAACTCAGGCTTCTTCCTAAACGACTTAGTATTCCCTCAGCTTTCTGAAGATCAGGTAAGCCTGCTGGAGTCACCCATAACAATGATAGAGGTGGATAAAGCTATATCTGCACTCCAGTCAGGGAAATGTCCTGGGGCAGATGGTTTCCCAGTAGAATTTTTTAAGGTAATGAAAATGAAGTTAAATAGTTTATTATTAAGGGTTTTTAATAAAGCATTTGAAGAATCGAAACTCCCAGAATCTATGTACCAGGCTAATATAACATTGATAGCTAAAAAAGATAAAAATCCAGAGTCATGCTCATCTTACAGGCCTATTAGCCTTCTTGGTGCTGATAATAAGATACTTTCAAAGATACTGGCTCTTAGGCTAGAAAAAGTAATGTGCTCTATCGTGCATGCTGATCAGACAGGTTTTATTAAGGGGAGGAATTCTTATAATAATACTCGACGCCTATTTAATATTATTCATTTTTTAAATTTTCATCAGATCCCTGGGGTTGTTGTTTCTATGGATGCCGAAAAGGCATTCGATAGAATTGAATGGGAATATATGTTTGAAATAATGAGAAGATTTGGGTTTGGAAAAAACTTTCTGGGGTGGATCAAAATTATATATAAATCGCCAATAGCATCTGTGTTAACTAACGGCTTGTTATCTTCCCCATTTTCACTGAGCAGAGGTACAGCACAAGGTAGCCCATTGTCACCACTATTATTTGCTTTGGCCATCGAGCCCTTGGCCATGGCCATTAGACAAAATCCAAGTGTTCTTGGAATTAAAATTGGGGATAGACAACATAAAATTCTGCTTTATGCAGACGATATTCTTCTGACACTGACTGACCCGGTTAACTCTTTACCCGTTCTTATTAGGTGCATCAAGGACTTTGGTCTTATATCTGGATACAAAGTAAATTTTGATAAATCTGTTATAATGACTTTGTGTAGTGGAGGGGATAATGAACCTTTATATGTTAAACCCTTTCATTGGGCACCATCAGGTTTTGTATATTTGGGAGTTAAAGTTACACCAAATGTTGGACACTTATATAGAGAAAATATTAATGGAATGGTTCAAGATCTTCGGGAGATGCTGACAAGATGGAGATCACTTCCGATATCATTTTTGGGAAGAATAAATCTCATTAAAATGGTAATCCTACCGAAAATATTATATCCCACAGGCATGTTGTTTGCAATCTTGAAATCAGAAGATATTAAAGTAATTAACAAGGCTATGGTGGATTTCATTTGGGCAGGAAGAAAACCCAAAATTAAATTGGAGACACTACAGTTGCCGAAAGATCTGGGTGGGTGGGGAGTGCCAAACATAGAAAATTATGTCCTCTCAATACAAGCGAGGATTCTTTCTTCCTGGATACATGAACATTCTGATCTGCCATGGCTAAATATTGAGGAAGTATTATGTAAACCATCCTCACCTGTTAACTTCTTAGGGAAACGTCTAAATGACTTACCTCACGTAATAAAGCATAACCCACTGATATATAATGCTATGTGGACGTGGGGAAAACTGAGAAAAATTTTTAACAGTAGTCTTCCGTTTAATATCTTGTCAACGTTTATAAATAATCCAGACCTTCTGCCACAAAACATAGGGTCAAGCTTTGTGGGATGGCATAAAGTAGGTGTAAAGAGGTTTTATGACCTCTTTAAACATGGTGAGTTTAAATCATTTGAATCCTTGAAGTCCCAGTATTCTATGTCAAAGACTGAGTTTTATAAGTATTTGCAATTGAGAAATTATGTGTTAAAAAATGCTAAAACATTACGAATCTCAACTGCCTCTTTTCGGTTGGAGAAATTTTTTTTGGATAATAGGGAGCATAAACATTTTGTATCAAAGTTTTATTCCGAGATTTATGCCCTAATCGAGGATAAACTGGCATGGTTGAGAAAATCTTGGGGGACGCTGCTTAAATGTGAAATAGATATACAGGCATGGGACAAAATCTTGCTCCTTCCATCCAAAATCTCTGTTTGTAACCGATTTAAAGAACTGCAATACAAAATTTTGCACAATGTGTATATTTCTCCATATATTTATAGTAAGTATAATATGGGAATATCTCCAAACTGTCTCAAGTGTAAGGTCAGAGTGGGCACTAGATTCCACTGCTTGTGGGAATGTGCTATTATTCAGTCATTTTGGAAAGAGGTCTGCGCCAATATTAGTACAGCCATTGGTCATCAGGTGACAGAAAACCCATTAATGTGTATATTGGGATATATTCCTGTCTCACTGGTACAACATGAGCATGTAATTCAGTCACTGTTAATGTTGGCCAGGAAAAGCATTATGTTGAGATGGGTGGGGGCTGAGCCTCCCTCCATTTCTCTATGGAAGTCGCTCATCATTGAAGTTATGACTCTGATCAGGCTGGGACATTATATTGATGGGAGCTCCCGAATTTTTGTTTACAAATGGAAGAGACCACTGGAAGCACTGGGAGTAACCTATAAACTGGATCCTAGAGGACAACAGTTATGGACATAATGTTGTAATATTCTAGTGCTGTGTAGTGTTATTATTTTGGATGTGAACCAGTCTTATATTTGTTGGGGGAAAAAAGTTAAATAAAAGTTTAAAAAAAAAAAAAAAAAAAAAAAGAAATATACAATTTATATTTTTCAATTCATATTAAAATTGACTGATTAAAAACGTTTTCATAGAGATTAAAAAACATTCCTGCTTAGATTTAGTCCCAATGAAATGATGACTGTAAAGTTTTAAAAGTAAAATTTATAAAGGTAAACTCAAAAGTAGTCAAAAACAGCCATTTATAACCTTGACTTCAGAGTTTTACATGACACAAAGTGTTACATTATAACATGTAGTTAGTGTGATAACATCTAGAGTTATTGCATTCATAGAAGTTTCTTCTGCTCTAAGAACAGATTCAGTTGTTCACAGTTTCGGGTCACGGTGCATTACCAGGTTGCAAACACTCACAAGGTGTTGAGTTGTGGTCACGAAAAGAACAAAGTGTTTAAAGACAAGTCTCTGATGCAGTGTCATCAGACTGTTGACAAACCCTCAGTCTAACCACAGTGTGACAGCAGGCCTTTGCTGAAAGTCACGTTTTGCATTGCTTCTCATGAAATGTTTTCTGCTCTTTATTTCACTTGACTTGAATATATTTACTTGAACAAACCTCTGATGTGTAAATCAGATCCAACTGAATGTCATCAGAACATATAATAATTTTTTTTCTTTTGGTAATAAGTCAAGAATGAGGATTTTGAGTATCATTGAATATAAAAGTTTTCCATCTCAGGGGGTCAGTTTCTATGTTGGATTGTAAACTCACTTTAGTGCGGTAGTCCTCCTCCTTCATTATTCATCCATGATCACTGATGAGAAGTTAATAGGCATTAGCCATGTCAATTTAAGACATTGTACAACCTCATATTAAAAGATTTTAATGTGTATACTTTTTAATATTTCACCAT